CCCTGGGTTTGCCCCCACCCCGGTGGAGGGGGGAAACTGGGGGGAATGGTCCATCCCAGTGGGCCCCATGGTTGTGGGGACCCCCCCTCCCACCCCCCAACCCCACGTGGGTGCTGGGTGCCAGGCTCTGCCGTGGGGGGTTTTTCTGCGGTGTCTCCCCCGTGGGGCTGGGCTGGACCCGCTCCTCCTCTTGTGCAAACAGGACTTTGGCAGAGAAGGGCACTGCCCAGGAAACCCCGCCGTGCCCCACGGGGCCCCACGGAGGTGGAGGACCCCCCCCTCGTGTGCCGACCCCGGGCCGTCTGGGGGGTGCCACGAAGGCCAGGCTGGCATGTGTCCTTGTGCTCGTGCCCACCACGGCCACCACGTTGCTCTGCTGGTGCCCACGGGCACTGTGCCACCACGGGCTTGGGGCCTCTTCCCAACCTTGGTTTTTCCGGGGTGCGATATTGGCTAAATCCCAGTTTTCTGGTCCTCTGTGTGCGGTGAAAGCAGCTGGAAAATGAGCACCAGGAACCGGGACGGGCCTCTCCCCGAGCCCTGCCTGCTGGGGGGCTGCTGCCCCATGGACCTCCTGTGTCCTTCTGACCAGCATCTCTCCTCAAAGTTGCAGAGAAAGAACCTGGCACCAATGGCAACAGCAACCACACAACGACAACCGTGTCTTCACCCAGCACACCCACTGCCACCAGCTCGAGGACATCCAACGTGACTCCAACCATCTCCAACACGGGGATGACCAATACGCCTCTGTCCAGCCTGGCCACAGTGTCATCTCCATCCAGCCTGGCCACAGTGTCATCTCCATCCAGCAAAGTGAGCACAACGGCAGCTCCACCATCTTCACCCAACCCAACTGCCACAGTGTCTCCATCCGTGACACCAGGCTCAGGGGTGTCCACACCTTCACCCAATCCATCCACCACAGTGTCTCCATCCGTGACACCAAGCTCAGGGGTGTCCACAATATCTTCACCCAACTCAACCACCACAGAGCCTCCATCCATGTCACCAGGCTCAAGGGTGCCCACAACACCTTCACCCAACTCAACCACGACATCGCCTCCATTCGTGACACCAGGTTCGGTGGTGCCCACGACACCTTCACCCAACTCAACCACGACATCAGCTCCGGCAGCATCTACAACGCCTTCGCCATCCCCATCCAACACGACATCTTCAGCCACCAGGCATCCATCCAACTCGACGGCAGCGCCCCCCCATCCATGTCACCAGGCTCAAGGGTGCCCACAACACCTTCACCCAACTCAACCATGACATCGCCTCCATTCGTGACACCAGGTTCGGTGGTGCCCACGACACCTTCACCCAACTCAACCACGACATCAGCTCCGGCAGCATCTACAACGCCTTCGCCATCCCCATCCAACACGACATCTTCAGCCACCAGGCATCCATCCAACTCGACGGCAGCGCCCCCCAGCCCCACTTCTGTGCCCACCGTGAGCCCTAGGCCTAACAGCACCTTGGCCACCAGCTCCAGAATGACACTGGCCATCAGCATCAGCACTGTGGCTGACAACTTGGGTGAGAACCAGGCTGGGAGGGGGGGCACCATGTGGGCAGGGAGCCCCCAGACCCGCCGATGGGCATGGCAGCAGCCCCAGGTCCCCCTAGACCCCCCCGATTCAGGGGTTGCACTTGCAGGATGGGGCAGGGGGGCTCTGGGTGCACCCCCTGGGCTGCCCCATCCACGTTGGGTTGGGAGGGGGGTTATTGAGACATCCCCTTTTTTTTCCCCCAACCTTTTTCTCATGGGACCTCGACCAGGGAGGGTGGGAGGACTGGTCCCCCAGGGGTGGAGGTGACACAGGAGCTGGGTGCTGGGTCTTCAAGGAGTGGGGTGGTCCCCCAGGGGTGGAGGGGACACGGGAGCTGGGTGGTGGGTCTTCAAGGGGTGGGCTGGTCCCCCAGGGGTGGAGGGGACACGGGAGCTGGGTGGTGGGTCTTCAAGGGGTGGGCTGGTCCCCCAGGGGTGGAGGGGACACGGGAGCTGGGTGGTGGGTCTTCAAGGGGTGGGCTGGTCCCCCAGGGGTGGAGGGGACACGGGAGCTGGGTGGTGGGTCTTCAAGGGGTGGGCTGGTCCCCCAGGGGTGGAGGGGACACGGGAGCTGGGTGGTGGGTCTTCAAGGGGTGGGCTGGTCCCCCAGGGGTGGAGGGGACACGGGAGCTGGGTGGTGGGTCTTCAAGGGGTGGGCTGGTCCCCCAGGGGTGGAGGGGACACGGGAGCTGGGTGGTGGGTCTTCAAGGGGTGGGCTGGTCCCCCAGGGGTGGAGGTGACACAGGAGCTGGGTGCTGGGTCTTCAAGGAGTGGGGTGGTCCCCCAGGGGTGGAGGTGACGCTGGAGCTGGGTGATAGGTCTGTGGGGAGTGGGCTGGTCCCCAAGGGTGGAGGTGACACAGGAGCTGGGTGGTGGGTCTTTGAGGGGTGGGCTGGTCCCCCAAGGGTGGAGGTGACACAGGAGCTGGGTGGTGGGTCTTCGAGGGGTGGGCTGTTTCCTCAGGGGTGGAGGTGCCACGGGAGCTGGGTGGTGGGTCTTTGGGGAGTGGGGGGTCTTTGGGGAGTGGGCTGGTCCCCCAGGGGTGGAGGTGACACAGGAGCTGGGTGGTGGGTCTTCAAGGAGTGGGCTGGTCCCCCAGGGGTGGAGGTGACATGAGAGCTGGGTGGTGGGTCTTCAAGGAGTGGGGTGATGAGGGGACGTGGAACAGGAGCTGGTCTTCAAGCCCCCCTTGACCCCCAAGAGCCACCAGGTTGCTTGGAGGCTGGGCGTGAGGCTCGGCGGTGCTGGTGGTGGTGGGGGGAGGAATAACGGGGTGCCTTTCTCACCCCCACAG